TAAAGGTTCTGTCATCAGTAACTCAATCCACAGATAATAAACTATTTTCAAGTTGGCTCTACAATAGAAATGTGTATGCTATGTAATATGAAGTATTTTATAATATAATAATAAATATATACTTTGTTAATAATTGTATCTTAATTCAACATCAGTGTCAATCACCAACAGGAAATCATAAAGAGAATGAAGGTGGTGGCTTCAATGGCTTGAGCTCAGGAGCTGTGGCATGCAGGCATTGTCATTGGAGTTGTAATTTCAAATAGTAAATTAACTTGGTTTTTATTCATCTTTTTTGCTCTTGTTTTTTACTCTTACTTTTGTTCTGAGTTGAACTTCATATTCCAAGCTACCAGTTTTTACAACAAATTGTAGCAATTGTTCCCCCATTATGCTACTCAAAACTTTTGTAGTACTATTAGGATTTGAACTTATTCTACTTTACTCTGGATTGGGAAGTAAGCCATTAAACTATTATATACACTATTTATTTTATACAGATGGTGCTATCACTAACTTTCAGTGTACTGATGGGCCAGTATGTGCAGGGGATAGAATAGAATGCAACTGCACAACAGATACTGGTGCTCTAGGCTGGTTCATAAGTTATCGTCACATAGACCATGTAATGTGGAACCAAATCCTAAGTGTTTCATTCAATAAAGTTACAACTAAGAATGAAGAATATCATTATGGTTATAATTTCACATTTAATACAACTTACACGGGCCTGAACACTTCAATACTGACCTTTAATCTTAATCACTCTGAGAGTGTACATATTGAGTGTGCAAATGGACAGAAGACTGATAAAATGAACACAACAATTACTGATTTAGGTTAGTGTACATATGCAATAATTATTATTATCAGGCAATTGTATTTTGTTAAAGCTTATTACATGTAAAATTGGCAAAACAGGGTACAATGAAGCTGTAATAATCACATAAGAGTTACGTAACTGCGTTGTTTTGAAAGTAAAAAAAGAACAACTGAATATGTTACCCTTTTCAATGTTTTGTATAATTAATAATAGGTTATTATGCAAAAGCACCGACAAACTTAACAACAACTTCAATGCAAGTGGAGTTACTTTACAATGGGAGGACACTGGGAATAACTGTACTTCTACTGTGTATCAAGTGACTGTTATTAGTTGTTCATGTACATCAACCAGTGTATTGACGTATAATACTAGCAACACAGCTTTACATATAAACTCAAGGGATTTATTAGAAAATGTAGCCTATACATACACTGTTAGAGGATGGAATGAACAGCAAAGTAACATCAGTGAACCATTCACACTTGGTAAGAATATAAGCTCAATAACATGTATCTGATTTTGATTTGTAGCTCCTGTTGAAGTGATGAGTGTTACAATAAATATAACTAATACTACTGATCCTTGTAAAAATAATATTTGCTGTGTCAATGTTACACTGAATATAATACTGGTGAGAGATTATTTTCTTAATTATAGTATGAATCATCAATTACTGTAGGAATCATTAGACACATGCTTTAAGCATCCAAATCAGTACTATAGCATATCATACAATCCCAGTACTGGACATATACCTGCATCATTTAAAATAAATGAAACAGAATTTGGAAAATCAAAACTAAAATTCAATGAGACCTATTGCTTAGTCACACCAACAAAGCCAATAAGTATGTGTAT